TATCTATCTATCTATCTATCTATCTATCTATCTATCTATCTATCTATCTATCTATCTATCTATCTATCTATCTATCTATCTATCTATCTATCTATATTCAATTTCTTTAAAAAGTTTTGTAATTTGACACCATTTGCGTCATAAATTGAATCACTTTTTGATTTCCAGACGCATTTCTTCAAGAGAATTGTTGCATTTAAGCCGACCTGCTATGTTTTCATCCTCGTTTATCACTGGAGACTTTATTTTTCATATAAGTTGACTTGTTTGGCCACCTTCAGACACATTTCACATTCATGTCATGCTCAGAAGTGACTTACCAATTACATTAACTTAACAATTGATCGACTGGAAATTTGTCAGTGGAACTTGTAATTAAATTTTGTGCCAAAAACATCTCAAGAAGTTATTTGAATTAATTCATTATTTGCAAGAGAGACACAATTTCTACTGAAATTCAAGACCAGTTAAATCTTGTTACAATATTTCTGTTTCTAGAACTCATTTTTAAAATTTTAATATATATATTTTTTAATTTGCTCTTGTGAGATGAAATTTGGCGTGAGGATAATCATTTTCTTTTTTATTTTAAAGGCATGTATTGTAATTTATCTTTTCCAGCTGCTGAATGCTGCCATTGATCGTTTGTTTGTCGTGTTCGTTTCAGGTCTTCTTGTTGTCCTTCTGGCAGTTGACCATATCGGCAGGAAGAAAAGCATGGCGCTGTGTTTCTTCATGTTTTCTTTATGCGTTCTGCCTTTATTCGCTTGTATTGAGAGGTAAGTTTGTCGCCTCTAATATCGAAGCAACAGCATCACATTGAAACACCAGCTCTCTGACTCTCTGTGTCTCTCCTCTTGTTCATATAGAATCGCTCTTACGATCCTAATCTTCGTTGCCAGAGCCTTCATCTCTGGAGGATATCAAGTCGTATTTGTTTACACACCAGAAGTACGCATCTTTTTTTTTTGCATTAAATGTATTTTTAAATGAGCCAAACTGGACTAAATGTATTCTTGAATTTTCCATTAGGTGTTTCCTACAGAAAACAGAGCCTTAGCAATGGGGACTTCCAGTGCGATGGCCAGGGTGGGTGCCCTGATTACACCCTTCATTGCTCAGGTATGCATCAGACTTTGATTTTCTTGTAGCTTTTAAAAGATTCTTGTCTTGTTTTAAAGCCTACAGCAAGCTGCAGTGTTTGTTATGTAGCACCAGGTCAAGGTCAGAGAATCATCAGAATTAGACTGTGAGATTTAAGACTTGTTATCGACCAAAGTTTTGAGAGGAACATTTCAAACAGCCAGTGGTGTTCAATTACGCACAAGAGTGTCATTGAGATAAACTAGTGCAGTAGTAGTAGTAGTGCAGACATCTTGCTCTAAAGTGTTCGGCAAACGGCTTAGCTGATATAAGCATGTTAAAGGTCTGTTGTGTGTGTTCACTGAGAAGAAATCTGGTGTTTGTACACAGCATTGGCTCTGTAAAGGGGAAACAAAGTGGCTCTGGTCGATCCACACAGCGTTATCCCAGCGTGTCCTGTGCACATTTAATTGTTTAAATATCTGGCTTAACATCATATCAACAGTCTTTCTCCAATACCACAAACTCCATCTTCAAAGCTCTTCTTTTACCCGTCATCAGGATTGAAGCAGTGACAGAAGGTTTTCTATATGCACCTGCAATGTACAGTTCAATCGAGTTTAAATCAGTGTGAGATGCAATGTGTCACCTGGTGCTGCTGCAATAACTTCACACTCTGGAGTTTCCTCATTTAGTTAATAAATACATGACATCATAAATGTTAAATGGTCGGTACTTATATAGCACTTTTATCCAAAGCACATTACAATATGTTTCTCATTCACCCATTCACACACATTCATACATCAATGGTGACAGAGCTACCATGCAAGGTGCTGCCTGCCATTGGGAGCAACTTCAGGTTCAGTGTCTTGCTCAAGGACACTTCGCCTGTGGAGGGGCCAGGGAACGAACCGCCAACCTTGCAATTGGAGGACAACCCGCTCTAACACCTGAGCCACAGCCGCCCTGTGATGTCATAAATGACACAGCTGAACACGTTTACTTATTTCTAAGACTTGCCAAGGCTGATTTTGGTTAAATTTACCTACATATATTGTACTTGTATTGCTGGCATCCATGTTAATAGCATGCTTTTTTCTTTGCGTCATGTCTAGCTGTATTATGCCGTGACTAAAAACCACTGGTGCGCTGCATTACTTCCGTGTTTGTGCACCTTCATGTGTACCCTTGTGGACCTCCATGACATAACAGTGACGTATTCATTAAATAACTGGTCCGTAGAGGTCAAACGCTCCTCTGGGTACCTTGAAGTTGAGATGCGGCTCGAGTGTTTGTGCCCTTCCTTCACCAGAGGGCACGAGATGTGGGAAGCCCACAACCAACTTCTCATTAGCTATTAAAGGAATAGTCATAAATTAAATAATAGCTTGCTTGACATGACTCATTGTGATGCAGGTTTAAATGTAGAAAATGTGTGTCCTCTTCCTGGCTAATCGGTGTTTTTGTTCCAGGTGATGCTCAGGACTTCGGTGTATTTGACCCTGTCGGTGTACGTTGGCGTTTCCGTGCTGGCTGGCGTTGCGTCCTTGATCCTGCCCATTGAGACGCTGGGCAGGAGCCTGCAGGAGTCCAGTCGTGACCAGGAAGCTGGAGGACAAACAACCAGCCAATCAAACGGCACGACAGACTCCACGGACCAGCGATAGGTCGACCAGGAAGGAAGGGAGAAAAAAAAGGTCAAAGAAAGGATGTTGTGTCACCTCCTGGCCTCCTGCTGATGCCACATTTGTCTGTTTGACGATGGACTGAGTCATCTGAGCGCCGATGGGCGAAGAGCGGCAGGGAACAGTCTTATTACAGGCAGGTAGGGATAATCGAGGGTCGGCCTTGTGAGAGAGGAAGCCCAGTCGTACTCGGGCTGGTTTGTTTACCTTCTCCTACACTGAGAGAAGCACCAGAGGGACATTATGGAGGATGATGATGCACCATGGACCAAACGTGATCTCAAGAGAGACCATTTTTCTTAAATGTTGAATAAAATGATTTTTAAAAAGAGGCAAAAAATAAATAAAATAATATATACATTTTTAAAAATTAAAAAATAAAGCCATGTGCCTTTCGATAGTGAGTTTGTCTTTTTTCCCCCCCAGTAAATCTGAATTTAATTTGAATATTAAATGTGAGGATTACATTTTATATCGGGTCATACATGCCAGTAGAATGAACATCAGAATTTTGGCCAGTCGGTTTAGCAAAAAAGATGATTTGAAGCAGCCGCCTCGGGCTGTGGGACATTTTAATGGACGTTTTCCACCAGCGTATGCAATCCTATAAATAAAATTGTTTATATTTATTGAAAATAAATCAATAAAGCCTTACATAAAGATAATAATAGTTGTAACTGTACACTACAAAATATGCTCACTGGAACTAAAAATGGTTGTTGATGCCATAGAAGAACCACTTTCCTTCCACAAAGAATGATTTAGCAAGAGGTTCTTTAAAGAAGGTATATGTAAACCCACCTGGTTTAGTTTAAAAAAAAAAAATCTTTCAAAGGGTTCTTAAGTAATTTTTCAAAATGTAGGGTTCTTTGAGCATTTTAAATCAAACTACTGGGATGAAAAACAAGCACAAGAACATTGCTGTTTGCTGTCTACATTCCTTGTTACTTCATTCAGTTACAAAGTGTTTAAATTGTCTCCTTCAGTGAAATACAATGTGTAGTGGACTCATTGGCCAAACACAAATATACATTTAGTCATGATGAGGGGGAGCATAGTCCCCTTTATTAACTTGTGGATCCCCTACGCAAACAGGTTTTCAATTGGCGATGGTGCTTTAAAGAAGAACCTTTTAAAGAACCTATTAAGCCTAGTAAATCTCGTAGGAGTTATTACATCTCGTCATGTGGGGCCTTCTGCGCTACCATTTCTGATTTGCTTAAAAAAAATAAAAACATATTTTTTTAAATATTAGAAACTATAAAAATGTTGTAGAATGTAATTAGAAATTTTAGGATGACATGTTCCAAAAATACAAAATAAAACACAATGGAATTTAACAGCTAAGTTTGAATATCTCAGGAACTATTAAAGATAAAAGCCTGAAATTTTCACTGTTATTTCTCATCATGACATTGATTCACAATCTGAAATAATGGGCAACCACATCACATGAAAAATGAAAAAATAAAAAATGAAGCCATCATTAAAAATCCAACCTTTGAGCACACATTAGCAAATAAATTGAAATTGAAGAAGTCACCAAGGATTTTTTTTTCTTTTCTTTTTGTTTTAAGAAAGTATTGGATGTGTTATCGTAAAACTGTATAAATATTTCCTTTTTTTTTTTTTTTTTTTTTAAGAAATATTGAGATTTCATGCTTTAAAAAAATTCAGGCAAAACAGGGATAATTAAGAAGAAATGTGATGTTTGAGTTAAAAAATTACGCTTCAAAAAAAAGGCAAATATGCTGTTTTTAAGATCATAGTGCTGAATCTTTTTCGGTTTTGGATTTTTTGTTCCTCAAAACAAGACATCTGATGGCCTCGGTTTATATTCTAGGAAACTCTGACTCCATTTTTAATCGTATTCCGGCGTTTGGTTTGTCCGGATGAATTCAACCAATAATCGATATTTTAGGGATAAATCTGCACCGTGATCAATTTGGGAGATGAATCGATGCCTGATCGAGCTCGCCGCGTTTCATAAACAAGATAATTTCATCAACGTTTGTATTTGGGAGTTCCTAGTCTGGCCTGTCACCTTGACAACATTGGCCCAATGACAGCGCACACGCGAACTAGGGCAGCCAATCAGAGGCGTCCGGCGGAGCTGCATGTCGTTTCCAACCCGCTCTCAACCTGCGCCGTGTTTTGTTTGTCTGTCTGCGCTCCGGCGATGAAACCGCGGGCTGCTCCGGCTCGCCACCGACACGGGAACTCTGCCGCCACTCTCCGCTCATGAGGACTCCGGTAACCGCAGAGGACGCACGGAGCAGGACCGAACGGGAGCACCGAGCGCGGCGGGGGTTGGGGGGGCCCTAGGAGCGGAGCGAAGGGAGCCGCTTGGATGAGAGTCTGACTAGGCATTTTCTCCCCGGTGACAGAGACAATCTCAGCGGCGCATCTTCCCGGATAGGCGCTGCTCCTCCTCCCCCTCCCCTCTTCCTCCTCTCCTCCTCTCCTCCTCCTCCTCCTCCTCCTCCTCCTTGCCCTTCCGCGGCTGCAGCCCCCCGCCGACCATGGCCCTGGTGACTCTGCAGCGCTCTCCCACCCCCAGTGCAGCATCCTCGGCCAGCACGACCAACAGCAGTGCGGGGGAGGTGAGTGTGGAGCGCCGGGGCTGGGTCTTTGTGTGGAGACGCCAAAATGCGCCTTAATCAAATAGGAGCTGGGTGGTGTTTTAATATCCTGCGCGAAGGGTTAACCTGACTGGGCTGCCTGAGTGTGTGTGTGTGTGTGTGTGAGTGTGTGCGTTACAAACTTGATGTATTGTTGCATTGTGAGAGCACTGAGTTGTTTGTTTGTGGCCACTGTGGCAGCGGATTTGTAAACAAAATCCTGCAGAGGGGGGAGGGGGGCTGGTGGGTTTTAGCTGTCAAGACAAAGTGTTCATTTTGCTGCTGCACAAACATTTGCTGCGTTGCACTCAGGTTGCTCTACCCTCTTTGTTATTGGGATTTTTATGTGCTGGGAGAGGAAAGGCAGATATTTCCACTGTTTAGGAACTTTAGGGAAATCTCAGGAGACACACAATGTTTTGGGAACTTGTCAGACTTTAAATCCCATTTGTCCAATATTTTAAAATCTGAAGTTGAGCTTGTTGAGGCCAGGGACCAGAAATAAAGATCCTGGGCAGAAAACAGAGCTGTCATCCTGAGCAGATCACAACATCAGTGTCAGTGCTCCACTTTCTAGTTTTAGGAAAGTGGATTATGTGCTCTGAAGTAGGCTGAGGTGCAAAAAATAAGCGGTGACATTCCTCTGTGATGAGGAGCGGGTGTCACTTTTACGGCTCACTATTCTGCAGCAGGGAGAACAAGTGTGATGCTTGGATGTGTGGTTTTTTTTTGCTGAATTCGTGCTGTTTGAAGGTGTCCTCAGGATTCAGCTCTGTGGGACATTCACAGCAGATGAGATCACAACACTGACCGGGAAGGACCAGCAGGTGGTGCTGACTTGCTTTTATGCAACTGCACATTAATTGGCAACAAGAACAAGTCTGTGGTTCTGTTGGACTGCAGCAGAAAGTATAACATTTGTGAAGACAGGAGGAGGAACCTCTAAAGTGCTCTCTGACTCTTTGTGAACATTCTGCATTGACTGTTATTTGCAATTTTTATATTCCGTCCTTTTGTTTTTTTTTGTCTTTCAGGATTTTGGAAGCGACGATGACAGGAAAAATAACCAGAGGTAAGAACACTCTAGGATTAAAATGTTATGTGGAGTTGGAACAAATTTATAAAGAGTTAGAAAAGTGTTCTTCATGAGGATTGTGTTTGGGATGCATGATGATATCCTCCATAAAGGCTCTAAAATGAAACACAGCCGTTGTCTCGGAGCAAACTTTAACAGATAAATGATGCTGACTAACGCTCAACACCGTGCTCAGCATGAGAGGGTTGAACATCAAAAATGACGTTGGTGTGTACAAGTACGTCTGCGATGTGACGTTTTTTTAAAGTATCAGCAAGTGACTACACATAATACAAACTTTTACTACATGAACACCAAAAAAACATGATGGATTAGCTGCATTGGGCTGCAAGGTGGGTCAGTGGTTAGCATCGTTGCCTCACAGTAAGAAGGTCGCTGGTTTGCTTCCCGGTGAGGACACCCGGAATCTTTCTGTGTGGAGTCTCCATGTTCTCCCCGTGCAGTGTGGGTTCTCTCCGGGTTCTCTGGCTGCCTCCCACACAGTCCAGAAACATGTTGAGATTAACTGGTGATTCTAAATTGTCCGTAGGTGTGAATGTGAGTGTGCTTGGTTGTCTGTCTCTAAGTGTAGCCCTGTATAGACTGGTTACCTGTCCAGGTGTCCCCTGCTTTCACCCTGAGTCAGCTGGGATAGACTCCAGCCCCCCACGACCCTAGTGAGGATTAAGCGGTGTATAGATAATGGATGGATGGGATGCATCATTTTCCAAACTTACGTATTGTTAGTATAAGATGATAGATGAAGATACACAAGCACGACTTCCCTCCTCTGACTTCATCAATGTGCTGCCTGTTGGTGGCGCTAGATTGAAATCCTGGGCATCACCAAGTAGGATTCGTCCAGTTGGCACGGTGGCTTGATGCTACATTTCACTGTGGGCCAACTAACATTTGTTCCATAGATGGATTACTGAAAAGGCCTCCTGAGTCTTTGCCCCCTGGTCCAGAGCCCCAGAGTACAGAGGTTAGAGGTAACATTCATGATTGCAATCAGCAGCTATGAAGAGGCACAAAACAACCACGTAATGATGTAAAGCATAGGTGTCAAACTCAGGCCCAAATCTGGCCCACAATGTCATTATATTTGGCCCGCGAGATGATTTCAATGTTCAAATTCAAATTTTCAGGAGTAAAATTGATCATCTGTATTTGTATATACGCACAAGCAAACTTAGAGTTATGCTGAAAAGTTTTTAAAAAATGATGCTTATGAACTTTCCAGCAAACTAGTTAGCAATTTAGCACGACGATGACGCTTGACTCCGCACCACCGTCTGTTCAGCTCTGAGCTCTGCTGCATGCGCTGCAGACTGAGTATCATAATCGCTGGAGTTGGAGTCATTTAGCAGGACAAAGATGAAACCATTGCTAAAACCACTAAACATCTTTTTCTGCTTTATGTTCTATTTTTTAAAAAGTCTTCACAGCTGTAAGTAACTTTCTACTTATTTAGGACTTGAATCTGATTACAGTGAAGAACTAAAGTCTAACAGTTAGAAGTGAAAGTCCTCAATATTCAGTTCAACTTAAAGGGTTGAGCATTTACCCTGGTTTTTATGACGAAGTAAAATGTGATCACATGGACGTGAACAGGTTGGATTGAGCCGCCATCTTGGCTTTTCCTGTTTTACTTGCTTGTGTTTCTGCCAAATGCTTCGTGCACAGTTGACACTATGCTGGATTCTATAATCGGAACAAGTGTTTAAGCAACACCCAAGTGTGGCACAGACAGTCAAACAACGCACTAAACAGTCTGTTTAGAGAATTAGACCCTGATTATTTAAAACTACTTTGGCAGGTGATGTGCTGGAGATTCAGTGCTCTCTGGCTGATTAAAGGGCAGCATCATTTTGGCCAGTTTATTTCCGCTAATGGCTCTTGCTGTAGTTTCTCACTGTTGTCAGGGGGAAAAAAAACAAAAAAAACGTCTGGACAAACAGTTTATTTAATGTGACAAGTTTGCAAAAAAAAATGCTTCTTGTTCTCAGTTACATAATAGAGAGTGCACAAAGCGTTGTCCCCGCTCAGTCACAAGGCCTTTCTTTAGTCAATTTGACGTCACAGACATCATGATTTGTGTCAGCACAGCTTTGGCACACACTCTGTCTTTGTGTGTGTGTGGGTTTGTCACAGTTGAAACAGTCGTGTCATGCTTTGTGTTCCTCCGGGATTCATCAGTGTGGAGTCTTAATTTAGAATTCTGCATGTCAAACTTGAGACCGACGCCAAGTAACATTTCCACCGCCCGCCCGCCCTCGCATGAATGATGCTATTGTGGCGGAGGGTTGCATAGGGAGAGCTGATTGCCGGATCACGTGAGACAAGATAGGGAGCCCGATCTGGGCAGCGCAGACCTGAAGGGTTCAAGGGCTCGAGATGGAAAGAAAGCTGTGGGAAGGAAGAGAAGGGGAAGGACGGAGCGAGACCGAGTTCGATCTGAATAGGCAGCAGTCAGAGGAAACGTGCAGGTGTAGACGAGAAGGAGAGGAGACAGAGGGATGTTAACGAGGAAGTGAGGAAGAGTTTTTTTTCTAAGGAGGCTGTAAATAAGAAAACCGGCAGGATGCATCTCGTGGTGAAGTCTTCACACAAAGCCATGCTGACCGTGCTGCCTCACTTTGTGGAGAAAGCTGCTCTGACTCGGACGGAGATCTGCCGAATGTAAGTTCTCTGAAGGCACTTATTGGAGAGACTCGGGATGTAGCGGCAGGATGGGATGTCTGGAATCTATCATGAATTCACTACAACAGCATTTAATCTTACTCTTTAACCCTGTATAGCCTGAGCAGCTTCTGGGCGTTTTATTATTATGTTTAACCCTATTCAGGACTTTCATGTTGTCATACGTTGAAGGTCTTTCTGGACCCCAAGAAAGAATATGTGCTAAATATTTGTTGGTATTCATTGTAGACTTGTATGTTAAATACATGTTCTGACAAGTTGACATATTTTTGCTTCCAGATGCATAAATTAAAAATAAATTTAAAAAATAAATAAAAAAACCTGTCACCTAAACCAAATGTCCTGGGGTCCAAAAGGCCCCAAAAGTCCTGAATAGGGTTAATCCTGCTATATTTTTTACTCACTGTGGGCTCATTTTTCACTGCAATACAAAGTCCTGCACCTCTATGGAAACAGCACGACATGGCTAGACATATCAAGGACTCAGAAATGCCTGTTGTGCAGTCGAACAAAGTTCTAATGCCATCAACCCTAAAAAAAATTAACAAAAAGTCGAATTCCTTTACGTATTTATTTTACAAAAATCGAAAAAACCCAGAATCTACAAAGACAACCTTTTTCTGAGTGTCCTCAGGTGTTACCAACGCTGCAAAAATGTCAGCAGATATTTTACTACTTGCATTTGTTGATTTGTCTCGTGTCTGGTCTGTGTGAACACAGCCTGCAGTTCATCCCAGTTCAGCTGAAAATAATTTTTGTCAAGTGACTGTTTGTCGTAGCAGAGTCGGTTGTCACTTCTCAGTTGTCGTATTAAGCTCAGAATTTTTAGTTTTTTGCCAAAACCGACTAGTTTATTTTTGGCGCGACATTTAAAATAACTGGGTTTTGCTTAAATATCACAGTTTTTAAGGTCAGACTTTGTTAGTTTTGGTTTTAGAACCATTTGCATGACTGTTGGAAAGCTCAAAAATCTGATGATTCTTTCTGTTGCTACAGTTTTTACAAACTAGCATGCTTTTTAAATCCACTAGCAGGTTCTGGTATTCCAAGAGTTAAGGACAAAATGCTAGGTTTTAAAACTTCTGGTAACAAATGAGTTAAGATATTCAGCCTTTACGGAGTTGCAGCGTTAATTTGTTCACATAAAGTTTTCTAGTTTTGCTTCTGCACATTAAGCTTCGTAGTTAATTTCCACTGCCATCTCCAACCCATCTGTCTTCTACATCAACTTGAAAAGAAATAATGATAGCACATAGCGGAGCAGCTGAAACAAAAGGCCTTGTGATGGTCCCACTCAGTCATACCAGGCTTTGTGTGTTTTGGTCGAGCGAGGAATGAGACTGTGGTTAAACAAAGCTGCACTCTGTTCTGTGTGAGAAAAGACGCTAAAGCTCTCCTCCTGCCTCCTCCGGCCTTCATAACAAAGTCGTGACCCGGGAGGGCTTCGTTCGGCGCAGGTCGGACAGGAAGGGAAGTTTTAAGGCACACGTAGAGAGTTGGAGTGTGACGCCTGATCCGTGAAAGGTCAGACTGTAGAAACACAAGGCTGTGAAATGTGCTGGATCAGGACTCGGATGAGCTGCTCATTGAACCAACGAGGACTAAATAAGTACACAACCTGCTCGCTGTACCTACGGCGTCCTGTCGGCAGCCTTTTCATGTCCTTTGATGGTACGACTTCGTGCTGTGGCTGTGATGACTAATGTGTAACGTCATGGAGACTCTGAACTCATCACTCGTCAGTACAAGCCTTTTTTTTTTTTTTTTTTTAAACAACAATAGCTAATACTCATTGGTTTCAGCGTCATGGTTCTGGAGGATTTGTTCACATTTTTTTTATCTCATAGTAAATTAAAAAACTTCAAGCTTTGCACTGTTTTCCCAACAAGAACTGTGAAGACGTCACTTTAGACACATTTGTAGAGCAATCAGTCGATCAAGGACGTAATATTCAGGTTATTTTCTAAAGAAACTCATTTTTTGTAGCCTTACTAGTTTGCATTTGCAAACATTTATGATGCAGCACAACTTGGCACTGCTTAAAAATTGTATAACTGAAGGTAAACCCACCATTTCCATCAAACCCAAATAGTCACACAAATGACCCACATATCTTTAATTTTTTAAATCTTTGTAGTATTACAAATGGAATAGTGTGTATTTAATATTATCCTCTGATTTCAATCCAGAGAAGTTGCCAAATCTTATATTTTTGTTCTTTTTTTCCCCAAAACTTTAAAGCAGTTTCAATCGTCTCTAACCAAAATGTATTATTCATGTCTTCTAGGAACATTTTAATGGCTGGAACAACACAATTCTTCTGTTTTATGACTAGAAAAAATAAGTAAAGCAAGGTTCATGGCTGATTAAGATCATCTGAGAATGATGCTTTACAATTACTGTCAAAAATTCTCAATCAAAAGAGCTGAATTTTAAACTACAAGATTCTTTGGGAAACTAGTGGCTCCTCACCTGGATTGCTTTTGTGTAGTTTCATTTTGGATTAGTGGAGTTTGTGTCCATCCATCCATTATCTATACACCGCTTAATCCTCACTAGGGTCGTGGGGGGCTGGAGTCTATCCCAGCTGACTTAGGGTGAAGGCAGGAGACACCCTCACTTAGAACCAAGCACACTCACATTCACACCTACGGACAATTTAGAATCACCAATTAACCTCAACATGTTTTTGGACTGTGTGGGAGGAAGCTGGAGAACCCGGAGAGAACCCACGCTGCACGGGGAGAACATGCAAACTTTTTTTGGGTGTCGTCACCGCTACGCGAACCGGCGACCTTCTAGCTGCGAGGCAACAATGCTAACCACAGATCACCTTGCACTATTTACATTTTAAATACATTTTCATGCTGTGAACACACACAGTTCAGTGAAAAGTTTGTCACGACTGTTGATCAACTTCTCAGTTGTGTTGATATGTGCAAAAAAAAAATTTTTTCTTACGAAATCTGGTTTGTACAGATAGTTTATTTATGGCTTGTCTTCAAATGTCATACGTTTAGAATAAAGGGAAGGAGTTTTGAATAAAGTGTCGCAATTTTAAACTTTCTCTGACTGAACTGTACATCACACGTGATGAGTTCCAGGACTCTCGGGAAGCTGAAAAACTGATGATTGTCAATTGCAAATGTCTGGACCCATGAACTCCAGTAAACCAGAGTTCAGAGTTTCTTCACCTCAGCTCGTGTTTGAAGTTCAGGGTTACAATGAAGCACAAGGAAGAAAAGTTAAGCGAGGACACTGGCTGAAGTTTACTGTCTCTGTAGCTCTAAACGTCTTTTACATTTGTTCTCTTTTGTCCAGCCTCAGCGAGAGCTTCTTCATGGTCAAAGGAGCCGCCCTCTTCCTCCAGCAGGGCGGCGGTGCACAAGGACCAAAGACCCCGACCCACCACAAACATGCAGGTAGGAACAAACGCACACACACAATGAAAAGCTTTGTTTCTTGTGCTTTTGCCCAGATTCTTTGCACAAATGAGCCCCCGGACAAAAGGAAAATTGTATAGGCTGAGGCTTTTCCCTCTGTGGGCTCGTGTTTATTCTAAACTGTGTTGGGAACCGTTTCCTAGTTTGACCTGAAGTGACCTGCAGCAGAGACGCACAAGTCAGATTAATGTGTAGGCTGCTTATGTATTGACAGAAAGGTCTGGAAAGTTATTCAGAAAGTGTGATTTGTCTTGAAATATGAACATATTGACTATATTGTTCTATATCTTTCTATATTATTGTGTTTTGATATCGTACCTGCCTCTAACAACACTCAGTCAGTTTTTTGCTTATTTAATGTCAGTTTCTGTCATTCAAAGCTTTATTTTTTTTGCTGTCTCAAACAATAACGTCTCCTTGTTGAGTCTGAAGTCATGTGAGGACAAAGGCAGGAAAAGTCAGAAGTCAGTTTGTACATAACTCAGCTGCAGGGTTCAGATTCGTCTTCATTGAGAAAAATTCGCTACATATTTCCTCCCACTGGGTCGGAAGACCAACAATGAATGCAAAATAGAAGAAGCTGAATGCTCAGTTTGTAGTTGACCTTTAGTTTTTTCTGCTAGAACGTCAAGAAATAGTGAGTCTTGTGTCTCTGTGAGAGGTTAGCATTAGTCAGCCGTTTAGACTGTTGAATAGCAGTAAAATGTTCTTGATAAAAAAAAAAAAAAAGGTTTAAACTATAATAAACTGTTTCTCATGTAATAATCAGTCTTAATGTTTCCCTTCCAGGTGATTTACCTCAGCACCTGCAGGTCATGTTTAAGGTCCTCCGGTCTGAAGATCGCATTAAGCTGGTCAGTATAACCAGAGTTTTTCCTTTAACTAAACATTAAATACAAAAGAAATCAGAGCCTTGATAGTCAAGTGTTTTAGTGTTTTTTTTGGAGTTCTACTTCACTCAGAAATGTGTTTTGTTTATTATGGGTTCACTTGGATGTTTGACTTTCACTGTACAGACTCACATGTGAGCAGATTCTGACATTAGACGGCTGTTTTTTTATATTTATCCACTGAAGGGGTGAAAGTTTCTCTCAGAAATTCCATATTTTTGCTCCTTTAATTAATGAAAGTGTCTCATGTCCCCAGAATGTGTCCTTTGATTTGGTTCATTTTACCATAACGGCATAACCCCTGGTTTTAACCCTGTTCTAAACGGACTGCTTTAGTGCCTCTAGATTTAAATTTAAATACAATTAAGCTTAAATACAGTAAGAAGACTGTCTCTGTGTCTGTGGTTAAAATCGGCAGCTGACACAGATGAGTCTGTGAGATGTGGAGTTTCCATCACTCTTAACTTTCTCTCTGAGGTATTATTATACATAGAGGTAGCGCCAAATTCACTGCACAGCTGTTATATGGTATGGTATTAATATGACCAACATATTGGGCCTTTGTTCTTTATTCTTATTCATCTTATTATTATTGTTTCAGTGTGGAACAGGTGCACAACACATTTCACTGCCATGTATAACTGTGTTTGTGACCGATAAAGACCTTGAAAATCTTTAAATCTTTAAAAAACAGTTTGTACAAGCATTGGTTTGTTGCACCACATCTGATCAGCAGCCAATCATGATCCAGTCTGAAATACACTGAAAATCCATTTTTAAGCAAAGTAGGACATATCTTGTGTCTGAAAGTTATAGAAATATTCAAAAATCAATGCGGGAGTCGACGTACCAGCCAGAGACTACAATGCGAGGCAGAGTATTTTTATGTCTGGAAGCACGTCTGGACGAGAACCTTTTATTTAAAGTAATTTTAGAAGCCATTTGCTGTGACTCATCCCTAAAAAACAGTCATGAGACCAGAATGAAGGCATGTTTTGTGGGTTTGTCGTGCGATGACGTTCACAACAACTCCAGAGAACTGTCATCTAACTTTTTTTGTTTTTTTCCCAACCCCTCCTTTTGTCGTGCAGGCCGTGCGGTTGGAGAGCGGATGGTCGGATCGAGTGCGCTACATGGTCGTTATCTACACCAGCGGCCATCAGGACACGGAGGAAAACATCGTCCTGGGAATGGACTTCACCGACAAAGACAGGTGGTTAATATCTCTGCAGCTGCATGTTTTGTACGTTTCAATCTGAATATTAGTTGAAATGATGTTCTTGTGATCCGCAGTAAAAATTGCTCCATCGGGATGGTGCTGCCGCTGTGGAGCGACACCAACATACATTTAGACGGAGATGGGTGAGTCACAAAGCTGCTAGTGGATCCAGAACACATTAATGTCTATTTCTTTGCTCACACGTTTAGGTTGTTGTCCACATTTTTAGGATTTACTGCCCACCAGTGGCAGAGGAGCGACTCGCACACATTTTTGTCTGGGTTCTTGCTGACCTGTTAACATTGTCGCTGCCTCTGTGTGCTGGAGGAATGTTCCACTGGTTGGTGTCCTGAATAGTCCCATGAACGAGCCCCGTCCAGTCTGTGTTTACATCCCCCCTCGTCGCTCTTCATCTCCGACCAAACTCCTCCTCATCTTCTTCTTCTTCTTCCTCCTCAGAGGCTTCAGTGTGAACACAGCAGGGCGGTCGCATGTCTTCAAGCCTGTTTCTGTGCAGGCCATGTGGTGAGTAAGTTCCTCATGTTTACCTGGGAGTCGTGTTTTTGTTCATGTTCTCAGAAAAACACTGGATGAATGTTGGTTCTGAGATTTTTGCTTTACATTTATCAAATTTTTGGAGCATTTGTACCACCTTCGAGGCATGTTTTCTGGACTTTTTGTGCCCATTTCTTGAGGTGTCATACACAGTTAATGTGAATATAAATTAGAACTTAAGGATTTTGTACATTTAAAGAAAAAAAAAAGCACACTGCTATATTTTTATGTCTCTGTGGAGTGGACCAGTGAACTCGATATTTAAAATAGAGGCTCCACAAAACGGGAGAGAAATAACTGTTAGATTTTTGCCCAGCATTAACATACTGTCAAAATACTAGCAGTTATTTGTCATTTCAACCAATTCCAATCCACAAATACACATTCACTACAGTACAAAATCATATTCCGGTTATTCCTCACTTCCCTGATGGACGTCTGGATACGAGATTTGGACGCTAATCGGATTCCTGAGTTGCTAAATTCTGCTAAATTCTGAATATATATTTAAAAAACAAGCTTTCATCCTGTAGACTTCCAGCAATTTAAGGGTAATTTCACTGCACACAGATATAACAGAGACATCCATAAGCTTGTTTTGAAAATTAGAGGTCAAGTGCCGCCTCCTAAAACTGAATTAGGCCTTAAACTTTGTGTTAAAATCACAAATTTAGATTTATTTTAACATAACTAGACTCAATTATGTTGGTTTGGTAAAATAATAACCAACTCTTGTATATTTGATTTGATTATTTTCCCCTGTGATGACACTGCTGGTTCAGATTTGACATTCACGCGCCACCTGCTGGCCAGTTGTCATTATTACCACTAAAGCCTTCTGTGCTCCTTAAACATTCCATCCATCTTGCTGACAGTGGTTTTTGGTGGTCAGGAGTTTATGCTCTGTGCTATGGCAGGTCCGCCCTGCAGGTCCTCCACAAGGCATGCGAGGTGTCGCGCCGGTTCAACTACTTCCCAGGGGGCATCGCTCTCACGTGGATGGCCTTCTACGAGAGCTGCATCACCTCGGAGCAAAGCTGCATCAATGAGTGGAACGCTATGACCGACCTGGAGACCACCCGGTCGGACTCTCCCACCATGTTCGTCGACCGGTGAGACCCCACAGAGAACTTCAGTGTCGTATATTAACAAAGACAAGCAGGTGGTCATTTGTTTGAGGCATTCCCACTACTTATGTCTGTAGAGGAAAAGGACTTTAAGCAGTTACAAGCTGATTTCATGTCTGATTTTCTCCTCATATGTCCAAACAGATTAGCTGAGTTCTAACATCCCCAGCACATCTATGTCAGTAGTCAGTATAGCAGATTTCAATGCTTTGGACACTAGCTGTTTCTATCGTTTCCCTACATGGGTGGAAACATGTTTCACTGTCCTGCTAATTTTCATCCAGACAGCAGCACTGATGTGTTGACTTCTTACACGCAGGCCGACTGAGCGAGAGAGGACGGAGTGTCTCATTAAAGCCAAATTACGCAACATCATGATGTTCCAGGACCTGGAAAACATCACCTCCAAGGAGGTACGTGCCAAATCAACACCTTGAAAATGTGTCTAATTGCTTTAAATCTTTTTTGAAAGCTGGACCAAAAAAAAGACATTTTTAAAGATGACAATTAGCTGTGTTAAACGTTAGATTTAGTTTCTAGTAGCAGGACTTTGTTTTTATGCATTCTGACTAAAGGCATCATTTAAAGTCTTCTGTATGTTTGTAAAAGTTATTTCACCGTAACCCTCCGAACTACAAAACCTATCAGCAGGTTTGAAAAGCATTATATCTTTAAAAATAACTAAATAAATGCTGATATTACGTTATTAATAAGAGCCAGAAACTGTAAACATAGAAAGAATCACCAGATTTTCAACTTTAAGATCCTAATCTGTGACATTCTGTTCAAAAATCACTTTATTTTATGTCTCATTTAGAGATGTGTCAAAAATAAACCATTTGCATTTATACATTTTATATATTCTTTGGTACAACTGTGAAGCCATCAGTGAAGTTGCAACAAAGCTGAAGGATGTTTAGGCCGAAATGAAGGCTGTTTTCAGAGGTTAGATAGGAGACAGTATAGAAACAAATAAAAAATGTCAGTAGTAAAGTATCTATTTTATGTAGAGTTACCTTTTCTTAGTATTGGTAAAACCTGCGGTCATTTATTGTCCATGTTGATTTCTGATTTTCTCATTTTTGTAAAATAAATAATCAAAGAAATTCAACTTTCGTTTCGTCATATTGAACAAAACACACATTTGAGTTCTGTTAACTTCTAGCCATGACTGAGTTGTTTCCATGAAGGTACAGGACTTTATATTGTAGTAGATAAATTACCCCACAGTGAGTGAACACATGTGTCAGGACCAAAACGTGTCCAGAAACTGCTTGGAGCTGAGAGGGTTAAATAAAGATAAGGGAATAATTCATTTCAAAACAAAAGCACTACTACTACTATACTCACTGTGGGAGATGCTCTGTGAAACATGCTTTTCCTGGTAAATCCTTCTCCTCAGATCCGTAACGAGCTGGAGCAGCACATGAGCTGCAACCTCAAAGAATACAAGGAGTTCATAGACAACGAGATGCTTCTGATCCTCGGCCAGATGGACAAGGCCACGCTCATTTTTGATCACGTTTATTTGGTGAGTTGTTTCGTCTTTACCGTTTGCTTCCTCTCATTGTGGTTTCTTTACTAAACTGCAGCGATTCTTCTGATTATTCTGAAACGTTTCTGCTTTTATTCCTGTGCAGGGCTCTGAGTGGAATGCTTCTAACCTGGAAGAGCTGCGGGACTGTGGGTGAGCTGAAAGATTTCATCCTCAGTGTTTTATTCTTCTCACAGTTTTTAGCTATTTCTCTCTGAAATTTGCTAACATGTGTAAATAGAGTTCATCCACTTTTCTGTGGAAATAACCAGCAGGTTACTGAAATAGTTAGATTACTTGTATTTGACAAGATGCTTTACAATTTGACATATTTCAACTCTCATTTAATAAAAGTTGTTACTATAAAATTGAATGCAACTCCAATCTGTTGCGCTTGATGCAAAGTTATGCAGGAAAACAATTTCCAACAAGTTGCAAAATTATGTTTTCTCTTCAAATAGCACATGAAAACTGTGTTGGTTCACATGCAGATGCTGTGCTGCACCTTATCCTCAGATTAGGAAACATAATTTTAACTGCACGCTGCATTTATCCCAGTAATTTAATGAATTAATGTCACAGTTTGGCACACAGAGAATAAACTACAGTTAGGGTTAGCTGCGTCGTCAGTGCTGCAGCCATTCAGATTATGTGTAATTTGTGCTAACAGTGACACTAAGGGGATGAAACGAGCATGTTGTTGTTTTGGTTGACAGGGTGGGTTACATTCTGAATGTGACCAGAGAGATCGACAACTTCTTCCCGGGGATGTTCTCTTATCACAACGTCCGAGTTTACGACGAGGACGCCACCGACCTGCTGGCTCACTGGAACGACACCTACAACTTTATTGTCAAAGCCAAGTGAGCGCCGTCACATCAAACAAACCAGTCAGCTCACATGTTTTGGTTACACTGGACAGAATATAGATTGTCAACTACAACAGCAGGCTGTTACTGAAGCTGTGTTTGGTCAGAGTTTGTGCTTTGGTATTAATAGAAGGTGTTTTTAGTCATAATCTTATTTAGTTTGACAGACTCACATCATGCATTCTCTCCCACTACTGGGGCCGCGATCACACAAGACATATTCTTGTCCTCCCCAAACGCAAGTCGTGGTTGTGAGTTGTGCCAGTAACAGCGATCAGTTTGGTTGCTATGCAACTGTCTGACCATGTTAACCTGAGGTGAAAAAGGATGTATGTAAAAATAAAATAGAAAAGATCAAGTTGAGATTTGTAGCGTGCTCATAGCTACGTCCAGAAATAAACAGATGTATCTGCTAATCTATTGGATTTGACTCAATATTTTAATATTACACTGTGCTATTGTCAACTAAAATAGAACATAAATGATTTTTTTTCCTGTCCAATAGGAAGAATAATTCAAAGTGCCTGGTGCACTGTAAGATGGGGGTGAGCCGGTCTGCCTCTACAGTTATTGCCTATGCAATGAAGGAGTACGGCTGGTCTCTGGAGAAAGCCTACAACTTTGTCAAGCAGAAACGGAGTATAGCTCAGCCAAACGCTGGCTTCATGAGACAGCTGGCAGAATATGAGGGAATCCTGGACGCCAGGTAAGCAGGTCTACAGCTGAGTTCAGATCTGTGTAGTTTTTTGTTACTGAGGTGGAGTGAAGAGCCTAAGATGTGATAGTGATGATACACATGCTGCTGGCGTTACCAGAGTGTCCCAAGTCTTCCTTTCCTTTATAGCAAACAGCGTCACAACAAGCTCTGGAGGCCCGAAACAGACGAGGAGGGAGCAGATGATTTGCAAGCGTCCGGCCACTGTACCGGTGGAGAGGAGATGCCAGTGCTCAGAGAGGAGGCCTGGGGAGGCTGCGGGGCGTCTCCCTGCAGGGGCATGGGTCTGGAGATGGAGCCCCTCGACTCTCTCAACTATAATTATTACTTCAGGCGTTTGTCAGACTCTGCACTCGACAGTGAGCCCTCCACCCCAGTGCGAGGTCCCCCTCTGCTAGGTATGGAGAGGGTTTTCATTGAGATTGAAGACGTGGAAAGAGATGCCCTGCTGGAGGATGAAGGTTTCCCCATGGCCCATCTAGCCCTACCCGGGGAGGGCACAGCAGCTCAGACCTGCGGGCGCCTTGATCCCCTGGAGGACATGAGGCTGAGGCTCGAGTTCAGCACTTTGGAGGAAGAGGATGAGGAAGAAGCCAAGAAAGAGGAAGCTGAGATGGCAGCCTTGGCTCAAACCCCTGGAAATTCAGATGCGAAGGAGGCTGAGAGAAGCGAGGAGAGCCGGTTAGGCTTAGCCAATCTGAACACCAACAACAGCAACCGTCTTGCCGCCAAACGCAGCTGTCCCGCAGCTTTTGATGTGAGTTAAGAAAATGTTTCCATGCCAGCAGTAAATTAAATGTTATTTACTACTTCTGCATGCCACTGACCGTACACTGTGTTCTGTTCTCGTTTTGATCCATTTAGGACAGTGCTAGTACAGGAAACCCTTTAAAAGTGAAGCCTTCCTACCAGTCCTGTAAAGACTGCATGCGTCTACCACAAGGGCGGCGCTGTGACCGTCCAGCAGGAGGCCGCTCCCACCGCCTTAACCCCTCCCGCCACTGCACCGTCCCCTCCATATGCATAGATCCGCCCGGGACAAATTTTGCTTCCACCCCTCTTCTGCAGTCTCTGCCGACCCCTTCAGTCGCCCCACCTAACCTGGTCCAGCCCTGTGCTCATCTGTACCGCTGTGCCACCTGCACCCCGAGCGTCGCATCAGTACCACTAACCAACCAACAGAAACTGGCCTCGCCCATGAACTGTGAGGAGACGCCTCCTGACCGCAGCTCAGTGGAGACGGAGGACATGGACGAACCACAGGGGGGCGACGTGGGAGAGCAGGTGCTAAGGGAGAGCGCCGAGGCCATCGACGCCACTGAACCTGGTGGTTTAGTGGAGCTCCCGCAGCAGGCTCTGGCTCTACAAATGCCAGGACTGGGGATAGAGTTTGGTCTGGAACTGATGCGACAAAGGGCAGAGCAGCTTGAGAAGATGCCAAGCCTGGCCATGGAGGGCCAGCTCCCAGTCGGGCCTCTGCCTTAACACAACGGCTGGAAGCACAGACGAGAAGGAGGAAGTGGAACACCACTGCCTCAACTACTGTGATGGCTGTGAGATATTAGATAACCACTGCTGCGGTGTCGTACCAGACGTGAAGCTCTGCTCTGCTGACCTCTGCTGTAATGTCTTGGCCTCCTGGCTCAGTTTGAACAAACTGCAGCAGCTCTCTGAGCGCCCTGTCATCGACTGAAGGGATTAAGATCCACAAGAGGCTGGATGTTTTCGCCATGTGCTAAAGGCCTCGATGCTTCTGGCTGTGTCAGGATGGAAAACTTTCTCGCGTCCTTCATCTGTCCCTCAGATGTAACTGAGGCCCATCTGGGCTATTTGAACCTTCCTGCCCCACCACACATGCGGGATCATCACCACATCCCAGTGGAGATGACGCTGCCATTTGACCTTCAACGGACAGGTTTGGCAAGACAGTGGTGGTTTGTAAGATCTAGTTGTTGTTCCTTTCTGATTCCTGACAGTGCTATAGTTAGCACATTAATGTTGATGAAAAGAAAATTACCTGAAGTCACATGCTTCTGTCAGTGTACTGTATGTTTTCAATCCAACTCATCAACAGTATTCAAGAAGGAGCTCAGTGAATATTTACTGTTCGATCGCATCTCCTCACGTTGCCCCCCGATATCTGAATCCTCACTTCACTTCCCTGCTGCAGCTGCTTTTGCATCACGAGAGGGCATTTCACGTGAAAGCATAGGATTTTTTTTTTTAAAAAAGGACCACGTGCGAGCCTTTTTCTGCCTCTTTGTAAAGCATCGTACCTCGGACCACAAGCATCTCGGACTGTTTTGGTCAAAGACTGTTTTGTTCTCTCTGCTCAGTGGCTGGTTCACCCTGACCTCCTCCAATAAAACTTAATGTAATCATGTACTTAAAGCGCTCAGTTTAGCCCACGCATGACTCTGCAGTATTACAAAACATATCCTCGACATGTTTAGACAGAAAAATAATCAAGTCGTCTCTCATTTTTACTCAGTTTTTTTAAATCTATCGATCGCACTGTAAGTAACAACGAAGGGTGCAACGCTTCATCCGACGGACCCCGAGAATGATGGAAGGAAAGCTCGCTGGAAGAAATTACGACACATCGACTCTGGTCAGACAGTCTCTGACGTAACCAAAGCCATATCATGTTGCCATATCATGCTTTCTCCGGCGATAAGCATGGCTCATTTCATTTTTCGGTCACCTATTGAACAAAAACTACCTTCCCGTCGACCTACAGATATTTGCACACTGTTCATATATATATAGATTTAGCACTCGAGCACAACTCTAGTACGCATTCACACAGCACACAGACACAGTTCAGCTAATTCATTCGAGCACACTAAACCCGAAACAGAGACGTCTGAAATAACATCTAATAACGTCTTGCAGTGGAGTCCATCCCTGTGTACAGTAATCATCAGACAGTCAACAGCTGTACATTGTGTTGATAATTTTAAAACTTCAGTCACTGATATATAAAAATTTTAAAATATATCTTCTTAGCACACACACAGGTTTTGACACTCCTACAATCGGTCTACGAATCCTCATATTTCAAGGTTTTGTACAAATAGCCTGCTGCATTTTTTTTTTTTTTTTTTGGTGAAAATTGTGCCACCAATCCAAAGTTGCTGTGCCACAAGGTGTTACAGGTTTTTTTTTTTTTTCTGTTTTGGTTGATGATGTGTTCTCACTGTTTTTTGGCACGCTGGGTGTGCTGGAAAGGTAACCGAACGAGGCCTGTGCAGGAAGAAGCACATGCAAGTTGTATTTACTGTGTTTGAAGGTCTGAGCGCTTCAGGAGAAATGAAAACTGTGCAAAGAATGAATGCAATTTTTTATTTTTTTTTTAATTATCTTGAAGTAAGGTTTTTTTTTTTTTGGCGTTATTTTTATTTTTCTAGATTTAGTTCTTTCTTTAATTAGATGAGTAGAAACTTAGACAACAACGCACCCTCTGTTCCTTCTCCTACCTTAACTGAATTCGAGGGAGCTGCAGGTTTGCTCCACTAATTCGATTTAAACATTTTGGTTTCCCCTTTAACTTGTTCTTTCCTTCACGTGGCCATTTGACCGTTATAAGGCACTTAAAGAAAGCTGCTGAAATCACACACTTTTGAAATAGAACCTTTTCAATCTAAAAAAAAAATAAAATGCAAATAAGAAAAGTTACCGAGTGGAAAGCTTTGCTAAAGGCTGTGAAAGACGGATTAAAATACTTGTCTGGGCAAAATTAGTTGCAGTCTTGCCAAAAGTTAGATGAAAACATTGACACCACTCCTATCGAAGTATGAAGCTAGCAAGCAGCCAGTTAGCTTAGCTTAGCATGGAGACTGTAAACAGCTACTCTTTCAAAAGAAGTGCTGGAATAGTTGTATATATTTAGCTTTAATGTGAAACTAGTGAGATGTCACGTGTTAATTAGTGAGCTAACGAGCCACATTATGCTAACAGTTAGCTTAGCTTAGCATAAAGACTAGAAAGCAGCTAGTGTGGCTATTTGGCTCACTAATTAACACCTTACATCTCATTAGTTTCGCATTAAAGCTAAGTATAAAACAATTCCAGCACTTCTTTTGAAAGAGTAGCCATTTACAGTCTTCATGCTAAGCTAAGCTAACTGGCTGTAGCTTGACCAACTCTAAGCAGGTAAGCAAACTTCCAAAAATGTCAAACCACTCCATTAAAATATGAATATCACGATTCTAATTTATTCTCAGCACGCTAACGCTCTCGACAGGCGGCTAAATCCTTGCGTCCCG